AAAGATCCACGGGACACATCTGGTCTGCAGATGGCTGGTGCACACAAGAGGGCTGCTGCAGCCTCCTGTTTTGCCCTTTGCTGCCCCCATCGCTGCAGTTTCCGTCATCTGCTGCCACTTATCACTGCTGTTTCAATATTGAGGTGATGTGTTTCAGCTGTAGCCAGTGCAGATTGTAAGGTGTAGATTTTCATCCATATATAACATACATAATATTTTTGTGAATTGATAAGAAGATCCAATAAAGATCAAATACAGGAAACAGACTAATTATATCAATAATATCAATATACAATGTGTGTTTTAAATAAGATATTTTGGGGTCTTGCAAGTGGCGTCTTTTCATATTTAACGTGTTTGTGCAGTGATACAGATTGAACAGAACAGACGAATTAAGAGTGTGTTAGTTATTTCATTATGAATCCATGCATTATTAAGGCCAATCAGCACGCATGCAGAACTCAGGATGAAAGTTATGTACATGAACAGAGTTTTCTTCTTTCTTACATCATACCCTTTCACAATGTACATGACTATTGCATGTGTGACCATTGCAATGTCATGGAATACATTACACCCCCCCCCAAACACTGTCAACTCTGCTTCAATTTCTCAAAATTTGATTAGCTCCACACCTTCACTCTTACAATGTACAAGGTTGAAAAAAAATTCTCAAAAAATTATGTTATCGCACTAATGAAATAAGTAACTGCAGAGGCAGACCAGTCCAGGGACGGATTACGGACCGGGCCAGCGGGGCCGCTGCCCAGGGGCCCTTGGGGTGCAGGGGGCCCGTGGGGCCCCTAGCCCAAAACAATTTGCAACGCTTATCAACAATGTATTTTCGTTTGTCTATTTTAGAGGATGTATTTCTTTGATCCTCTGCCTACAAGGGCCCCTGACCCTATAGGGCCTCTGATGGAAACATGGAGGGAGGGCGTTTGGCTGCCAAGGGCCCTTGAATTGTGGTGGTTGTGGTGGGGGGGGGGGGGGGGCCCTCGCGAACGTTTTGCACAGGGGCCCACACAACCCATAATCCGTCCTTGGACCAGTCCCAAAACCATATATATTTCCTGTCTGGTGAATACAGAAAAAGATAGGCATAACTACAATTATCACACCAAACTGAAGCAGCGCTGCATAGTGATAGCAAAGTAAAGGGCCGTCTCAGACATTTGATCTTATTAGCACAATAACTCAAAAAGTATTTAAGTATTTTAAATTGCACCTAAATCAAAGTAACCCTGCTTAGTGGAAGCAAAATGAAGCATGACTGCAGAAGACACTTGACCTTGTAAATGTGATAATTCAGATCTATTTGATGGACGTTACTGCTACTTCACAACAACATTACATGGGTAATGGACACCTAATTTCATTTTAAGAAAGATTGCACAAAAATTGAAGCCATTGTGCTAGGTGACAGCAAAGGAAGGAAAGGGTAGCTGCAGAAGACACTTGCTATTATTGTTTATAACTCTATAAGTATTTGATTCGCCTTTTTTGAACTTATACACTGTATAACTGTTTGAGACAAGTCATGCTAAAATTAAAGCAGTGGCATTAAATGGTGGCACATACAAGGACAGCTAGAGAGTTGGGATTTTGATAAAGATGTTTTTGGAGAAGTGGGGAAAGTGTGGAGGGGGCAGAGATTGAGGTTGATGGTGTGAAAGGAGTAGGGATTAGATAGGGGAGGTGGTGGACGACGTGGTTGTTATTCCACCATATTGGTTTTTATTAGAGATGCACCGATTGTATTGGCCAGCTGACGGTATCAGCTGGTACAGCAACAATCGGCCATTGGTTGATGGCTAAAAATGAGACCATATTTACCCCCAATAATTCCCTGTAAAATGGTGACCTGTAGTGCTTTGCACAACCATGTGCTAAACAGAAAAACGTCTGCTATATGGAATTATTAGAAATGCATTTTGCAAACATTGCTCTGCTAAAATGTCATGAGGAGGATCTACTAATAAACATTTCAATCACTCACCTTAATAGGGGATACAGTGAAAAGTATGAAAAGTTTCTGAGAAACAAATCTGTTCCAATAGGGAAGCGTACAGTACTGCTGAAAGATGCAAGTCCGTCAGAAACACAAGCATTTGATAGCAAAATAAAAATCAGTGCACACAGTGCAAAATCAAAAGATATTACTTGGGAAATTATGGAGTTTATTGATAATGATAGCTGATGATCAGCCCTTCTCTGTTATACGTAACATGTGTACAGTCATAAAATAGAATGCTCTGGGACTGTTGTAGTATGGTTTTATTTTTATTTATTTTTTTACTAAAAAATAAATACTTTTTCATATCTTTGGAATGTAATGAATTCATTTTTTAATTTATTTTGGTGGAGTGTCCCTTTAAACTTATTTAAGCAGAATCTCCCAAACAATTGGTATCAGTGTCAGTTTTCAAAATAATGGGCCATCTCCCCAAACAAGCTTGACGGGCCGAATGGCCTCCTCTCGTTTGTAAATTTTTTATGGTCTCATGTTATCGGTATCGGGCAGAAATGTCCTTATCGGTATATCACTAGTTTTTAAAAGTCGGCAAATAACCATTCGTTATCTACACAAAGGAAGATGAATTTTGCACGTACACTTTGGATAATGCATTGCTTCTATTGGTGGCCAGACTTCTGGGCCACAGTGGATGTTAGATGCACACAGCAAACCCAGTGCACCATTTTTTCACCATAACCGCCTCCCCCCACCCAACCAGTTGTAGTAAAGGGGCTTACTGCAGTGTTTGTGGTGACTAACAGACACAATTGAGGTGGTCAAGATAAAGTGTTTCATATTTAGTACAAATGGGTATTTTACTTTGGTGTTTTTGAGGTTAACACAGTGTAACTGAACTCAAAGATCTGTACTACTCATTAAGTATTAGATTAAAAAATAGCCACATTTTCCATGCTGCTGCCTGGCTTTGCATCTGCCAGAATCTCCTGAAGTATTAAATTAGGCGCTAATGGTTTATGCACCTCACATTATCTGCACATGAGTTATGTAACTATGGCATTCAAATTACAACCTGATAATAGCGGAAAAATCCATTATTTTTATATACATTTATATTAATGCTTACATCTTATCTGGAAAATTGGAGTATTAAATACTATGCACTGAAAATAATAAAAGGCCAAAATATGCATGTAGAACAGCCACTCCATACAGCTGGAAGCCAGAACCACTAATAGAATAAAATGCCATAACAACATATCTCTTCTCTTCACATAAACAGGAAAGGCCAGTGATGCAAAGCATTTCTATGACTCTGTCCACTTACCCCCTCTCTCCTAAGGTCAGAATTCAGTCACAGTCAGAATTTTTTGCTTTTGGTTTGACTTCTAAACTCAGCATGTAAGTGTTCCACTCACGGTTCTTCATCCCCATTTCCAGTTTCTCCTCACCAGTTGTTCCCAAAGGCACAACAGCAGTCATCCAAAATGTGTATGTGTGCGCATATGTGAGACAGTTAGAAAAGGGAACCAGAAATGACTAACAGTGAGTCACTGCGCAGAGTAGAATCATCAGAGCACAAGTTTTACGTGCTTTTTGGTTGCTTTCAGCTTCTATTCATTTTCAGTGATCACTAGAATGCAGGACAGGCTGATATTCACGTAGTCATACTAAAGGCAATGCAACCTCCAAATTCAACTATCACAGTGAACAAGAAACCTGTGGGAACCCCCTCCAGAAGAGTATTCAAACATAAACCCTCGGAGGCATGGGATGGTCATGCTATTCCCAAAGAAACCATGTTACATTCATCATCTTTGATGACTTGCTTTGGTTAGGATGGCTGATAGATCCATGTGACAAGTATCTTTTTTTGGGCAACACAAAGCAATACACTAAGGTGGTCTTCTTCAGCAATAGGACCCATAATGCAAACACCAGTGAAATCATTTTTGAAGGACTTTGAAAGCACAGTAAGAAATAAATACTGTATGAACAACAACAATGTATCCCCTGGATGGCCCCGTCACCCCTCCCCCCATCTACTCCATACTCCTCACACCCCCCAATCTCTACAATCTCTACTCCTCCCTCCACATTCTCCCCACCTCTCCAAAACATCTTTATTAAAAGCCCAGCTGTGTCCAACTTGTCTCAATGTAATCAGGCTCACCAGATCTGTGTCTGTGGCTGTCCTTTCATTTTCCCACAACTAAATGATACTGCTTCAGTTTTGGTGTGATTTGCCTTGAAGTCAAATAGGCCTCAGATATACAATGTTCCTGGGAAGTCTGAAAACATGTCTTCTGCAGTCCTTTGCTGTCAATATGTGGCAGTGTTTTACTTTATTCCTAAATTTCATCACGTGCAGATCTTCACCCACACAATGTGTCTGCAAAATTGAAAAAAGGTCCATTCAATACTTTTTGAGTTATTGCACTAATGATATCAAGTATCTGTTGCTATAACAATGCTGCACTACTTCGATTTTGGGGCAATTTGTGTGAAAATTAGTTCCAGATCAGTACCCAGACATTGTGTCTGCAAAGTCTGAAAAAGTTTTAAGAAGATCCAGTTGACCAATCCCAAAATCATATGTATTTCCCATGTTGAGAATACAAATAAAGCAGCATAGTCATAGAACTCATAAAAAATCTACATGCTTGACAAAAATTGAAATGTAAATTGTTTATGCAGAGCTAGTCAAATTAATTAGTTTTGTTAGTGCATATCTCTCTGAAAAACATGCAAATTTTTTATGTAAAATCTGAAAAACATTAATAAATTCTGCTAAATTCTACCCATAACCTGCTAAATTTCAGCCATAACTAATGTGTTTTCACAGAATCTTGCAGTCACTGGCCTACCTAGCAATTGCTCAGATATTAGATTTAGTGAACTGTGGCTTTATCTGGAGCTGGTTTATCATGAGGAAATGTCACATCAGACCCATTGCACACTATGCTACACTGTTCAAGATGACTGCTAAGTAGAGTTTGGGGGAGGAAATAGCCTTGGTACTCACTGGTGCTGGAGCTGTACGTTCGAACAGTGGTGGCGGTGGGTGGAGGTGAGTCAGAGTCCAGGGAGCCAGTGTCCTCATCCTGGGAACAGCCAGCCTGTATGGCACGCAAGTAACTGTGCGATCGTGAGCGGAAGCAGGTGGCTGATGGCAGCTCCACTGCTTCTGTGGCCGGCTGCATGCTGCCTTCACCAAACGGCGAATCCTGGTAGGTGTCCACAGCGGTCTGGCCCACCTCTGGAACCTGCATCTGGAAGGACATATGGCATGAGGCCGTGCTGGGGTTACCAGCTCATCCATGTCACAGAGGACATTTTGAGCCAGGACAGGATTTGAAAGATACCATTTCCATTAAAGGGATCTGGATTTCACTCATGCACCAAGATCTTGCTGTGTACTGAATCTCCTATGATCATGCACATTCCACTGATGTTAATGTGAAACAGCTGGATGAGTCTTTCAATCAAGCAAACAAAGCAGTCAAAGCTCAAGAAGAGCTGAACTATTTGATGAAGTTCAGGAGCCTTTCAGTTTTAAAGTATAGTTTATGAAACATGAAGTAGCTCAAAGTGTCCTCCCTGAGGCACTCGATTGCCGCTGGGTGGCCTGGCAGGAATGTGTGTAGTCAGGCCGGGTCTGTGAGGCATATTAGGCCTGGGACGAGGTCTCATACTGAAATACACTAATGTGACACAAAGAGCACTGCTAGCCTAGCCATTAGCAGGTGGAAGGCGATATAATATTCTGGCAGTAGAAAAAGGAGATCCACCCACAGTTTGGAAAGGTGGCCTTGTGGAGCTGCTGATAACATAGACGGTCATATCTGCTAAAATAGCTTATATTCACACTCTCAGTAAACACATCACCTAGCAGAGATTCTGACACCATTTCTACTGAATCCATGCCAAGTCACTACACTACGATTTTTATGCCTCTAACACCAACCACTGAGGAATAACTGCTCAGCCGAAGTTCTGCTCACGTCTTCATAACTGAGGAAGGAGAAGCTCCCTGTGCTGTCACAGAACTGATGATACCACATCACAGCTAAGCACCGACCAGTGCTGGGAAGTAGTTAGTTATAGAGGTATATAGTTCAAGTTCAGAAAGTAAAAATCCAGACCAGAATTATGTTTCAACCAACCAGCTGAGTACAAAGAGTCCCAACTGGGTGGTAGAAACAAAATCTTGGTTTGGATTTTTACTTTCTGGACCTGAGCTAAATGGTAAATGGATTGCATTTATATAGCGCTTTTCTACTCCTATGAGCACTCAAAGCGCTTTACAACTCATGCCTCACATTCACCCATCCACACTCACATCCACACACCCATCCACACACACATCCACACACCTGTGGCTGAGGCTGTCAAGCAAGACGCCAACCTGCACACCGGGAGCAATTTGGGGTTCAGTGTCTTGCTCAAAGACACTTTGATGGGGTCAGGAGGAACCAGGGCTCAAACCTGCAACCCTACAGTTGCCGAACGATAGCACTATCCACCTTTGGTAACAGTGTTACATAATTAAATTACGAAATAAATTAAATTGTACTCCATTAGTTAATGGGAAAAAAATGTGTAATTAAATTACAGTTACTAATCAAAATGTTGATGATTACAAAAGGGGTTACATCCGAATATATTGTTTTTGGTAAAAAAAAGCTTATATGTAGAATATAACATTCATTTTGTTGCTTTGCATCTTTTCACATATAGAAATGCCTTCTGTGGCATTTTTCCAAACAATGTGGGTTAATCTGTAACCTATTACATTTCAAATGTAACTCTCCCAACACTGGCACCAACAATGTCATTTGCATTGTGGACACGGCACCGTCCCGTGTGGCTGCCTAAAAAACAGCACAGGAGAAGCCCGTAGAGAGTGGGAGACAGAGTGACCAGGGATGAGTTTCCCGAAGCGTTCTTAACGCTACATCGTTCTTAAGTTCTGTGTTAAAAGATAGAACTAACGAACGACGTAGCGTTAAGAAGGCTTCGGGAAACTCACCCCAGGACTGTACAGACAGCAGTCACCCCTCAGGAAGGTACAGGTCTGAAGGTCTTTTGTCCTCAGACACCTGGAAAGACAGGGCATCATTTTGGTTCTCCTACAAGTGTTCTGCTCCTATTAGCACTGAGACTGCATCTACCAGTCTAATCAATAATAGCCTTTTTTTGTTTTCTTTTTTCCTGTAAATGTACCTTGAAGTTTCCCTTGCAACCATATCATTCCTCAAAATAACTGCCATCCAATAGCAATCGATCTGGGGATCATGTACCACAGACGTGCCAGTGATCTTGCTTGGGGATCACGTCACGTTAGACTGGATTTGGTGCTACTCAGCAGGGGCCTGTTGAGCTCTGAGCTACATCACAAATTATGTAGCGTGCAATATATATGTATAGCAAGGTCAATATTTATCTTCAATATTGGCTTAGTGTACATAAGTGTGACAAAGTAAAATCTGCCCCGGGGGTGTCTTTGGAGATCAGCAGCCCAGGAAAGCTGGAAGGAAAGCAGAGTCTATAACTTGGCCTTATTGCTTCTCAGAATGATTTACAAAGACATCTCATTGCCCCTGCCCCCCCCCCTTCCCCAATATGCAGGCTGCCCCACAGTTCATTTCTCCAAATAGTTTGACGTAGCTGATGGTGTTTTCTATGAATATTTCATAAGAAATTTAAATTCATTCTGCTGCATGTTGATGATCTAAAAAAATGTTGATAATCTAAAAATACTGTGTTCACTTAACCAAAGCTTGAAAAAGTAAAACCTTTTCTAGTATTATACCTGTGGTGTTTCTAGGATTTTACTGTTACAGGGGCTGAGCCCCCTGAAGAAATATGGTACACCCCTCCCCAGTGTTACATTTTCTGAGTAGGGGGCTTCCACAATAATGTATGCTGAGCCAAAGTACCACGAAATATATACAAAAATATGGGACAAATCGCTATAGTTATAGAAAAATAATTTTAGGGGGGTTGAGACAAAAAATAGCGGAACTGAATGGTCTAAATGCTACCCGCTTTAATGGAGCCTTGTGATTTAAAGAACATAAAAATTCCTGCGCAATCATTAGTTAAGTGTGGGTCCTTCCATTAGGAATCAGATTTGCATGGCAATTACCCTACTGATGTTGGTAAAGGGAACAGATTGGAGAGTTTTCAGTGTGCTAATTGTGTTAATTGCTGGTATCGGTCTGGTGCAGAAGAGCACCATGGGGAATAAGACAGCCTAGCTTTAGGAGGAGAGCTCACTGTAGAGCTGTTCCCTTGGACTGTAGGTGACCCAGAGGCTTAACAGCAGGGTACGTGGGGGCTGAAGTGAGGGCACTGACCTTAGTGACGCAGCCAATTTTGCCAAGCGTGTTGCAGCCCAGACTGAAGTCCTCCTCATCCCAGTTTGGGAAAGTTGCACTGGGTGGTCCACTGATACAGTCCAGGTTGTCCAGGCTGCGATTGGTGGAGAGTTCTTGCAAAGAAGGGAGACAACTGTGCAGAAAGGACAAAACAAAATTACCCCCCTGACACAGATGGCCATAGTCAATGTCTGAAACCAAGTTTCAAGTGCACATTGTCTGCCTGTGGTGTATCAGGAGAACATTCTGAGGGCACATGAGAACAGAACAGGAGGATCAAAATCACCACCAAACTGGGCATCTATCTTGCTCACTCCCTAACATATCTTCACAGCAACAAACCGTCAAACAAACAGACAGAACCACCTGCCAGCAAGCCATGGAAACAGCTGTTAATCATTATAGGTGAAGAGGAAAACAGATCCTGGAATGCACAAGTGAACATCTACACATGTGTGGGATCCTGTTGGATGCTGCTATCGGGGGTCTATAACCTGAAACCAAAAACCAATAATCCTAAATCACAAAGGTTGTAATCTTTTACTGGATGGTTAGTGGTATACATTGGTTGGATGGATGGATGGATGGAAATTGTACAATACACCTAGATGTGAAGTTTAATGCACTTAGAACTATATCATTGCAAAGCTTCATTCACACTCATTTTTGGGCCTTCTATAAAATAAAGATCTGCATGCATGATTACCAGATCCCTTCATGACCTGTTAAAATAATCCATGAGCAAAAAAATATATATATATGAGTGGGGGGGCTTACTTGCGTAATGGCAGTTGCTCGCTCAGAGACTGCTGGGTGGCTTTCAGGTAGCTCTGGCGGCGGCCTGCCATCTTGGGCGAGGGTTTGGGGCTGCCCTCTGAGTCCTCGCTGTTCTCCTGGTCCCCCATGGCCTTCACGTAGCTGCCGCTGCGCATTCGCCGGCATGGGATTTCACTGGAGCCCCGGGTGCGGCCCAGCGTGTTGTTCCATTCGCCCGCCTGCAGGACACATTCCTCATAAGCAGCCAATTTGGCTATGATCACCTGACATTATTACACTGGTCCCTGTCACATACCCGCTATGTAACCACCAGAGCTCTCTTACAGTAAATACTCTATTTATATATCCGAGTAACATTTAAACTGTGGAGTGGTACAGTGTATGTGTGGGGTTGGCATATGACTCCTGTGTTACCTTGGTATTCCACTCTCCTTCTGCAGTTCAAGGACATGAGACTCAATTTACCACCTGCGCAAAGTGGTTTTGCTAGTTTCGCACCATCGTATTGCTCATTTTCACGACAGGCAGGCATGTCGTCAAAATAGTACATGATTTTGCACCCGCTTTCGGCTCGTAGGAGCGGCGTTTTTCAAACGAGGCGTAGCTGGGCGCATTGTCGTCGCGTTGCTATATTAAGGCAGCGAAATGACACGTACTGCACCTTTGACCAACGAAGACCACGTCTCAAGTCAGCGGTGCATTATTAAATTATATTTAAGCGGCGCATTTTAGAAAAGTATGGGTGCATGACGCTTGTTACGGACACAGGTCACACCCTCGAGATTATTGTATTTTATGTACGTTTTATTATAGGGCACAACTGGTCCTTTCACGTAATCATACTGTTCAATAAAACACCAAAAGAAAACAATATATATTAAGTAAGGAACAAATCAAAAAACCTTTTGAGTTCATTATCAGAATTAAGCACGTACTGTAATTGAAAGGACATCTGAATGCTGAAAATGCATTTCAAATATTTAGATAAGCCAGGTGGAGTATTACAACGTAGCATGCTGTATGTGGCGTAACATTGCCATGCGTGATGAATGTCTGCTGGACATAAATGAGGACACATTAGAGGACTTTAGAAGGCGTGTTGCTGAACTGCATGCGCCGATGGCAACAAAGGAGTGTATGGGCAGCAGCACGGGCAAGGAGGGGTCAGCTGTCAGAAGAGCTGAATCGTCTGTATACCCCGGTAAGGAATCGCAGTTGTGAGATTATAAAAATAACAGCCATATTGTCTTTTATTTGAACAATTTAAGCACATTAGAACTACTTTCATTTATATTTCGTGAACTGCAGACCCAAAATTAAAATAGAAAAAAATCACACACGCATAATTAATTCCCCGTCTCCAGCCGCTGCTCTCGTTCAGCAGCGAGCTTCTACCGTCTTCTAATTTCATTATACCGCTTTCGGAAGCGGATGATCTGGTGATGCCAGAAAACAAAGACACGGCACCTTCATCTCGATAGGCTTTGGTGGAACAATGCTGCTCCCGTAGACGACGTGCTCCCGCATTTTCACTTTGCGCACGAGTATGTCTGTTTCCTCGGCCGAAAAGCCAGGCAAACGCGCCATTGTAATAATAATCCGTCGTAGATCATGCGCCGCTGCTGAGGTGACGCGCCATTCTGATTGGTTAATTGCTTGTTATGGCCAAAACACGCCTCTGAATAATTAGAGAGGTAGGACAACCTTTTTTTTTGCCTTGCTCTGGCACAAAGTCTGTAAAAGTCCCGTAAAACAGGGACATGGATCAGGACACGCCCATGACTGTTAGTTCCGCTTTGCGCCTTGCATTAGATTGTCAAAACAGAGCCCATGCAGTTAGGTGAACTGGTATCTTAAAATTGACCGCCGTGTGTGATTATGCATGGGAATATGTGCATGCTTGTTCCCTGCGATGGACTGGCATTAAATCCAGGGTGTCCCCTCCCTGGTACCCTACACTGCATATGATAGGCTCTAAACCAGGGATCTCCAAGTCCGGTCCTGGAGAGCTACTGTACAGTAGGTTTTCTATCCTACTTGGCTTCTGATGAACCACACCTGCTCCTGGTATTTACTTGAGTATAGGTGTGACTCATCAGAAACCGGGTAGGATAGAAAACCTATTGGACAGTAGCTCTCCAGGACTGGAGTTGGAGACCCCTGCTCTAAACCTTCTGCAACCTGGTGCTGGATAAGTGGCTGATTATTTACCAAACAATTCGGAAAAGCAAATTTTATATTAATCCAATCATTTTCCATAACCACTTACCCACTGCACAAGCACAGGGTATTAGAGACCAATACATCAAAGATCATACACTTACACACTTACACAACAGGCAACTCAGAGTTACCAGAGTAACAGGTGAAAATCTGTGCAAACATGGGCAGCACATGCACACTTCTTAACTGCAACATCACCCATTTATAATAAAACTTCTATGTATAAGGAAATATATTACTAAGCTTTCCCTTGACAGCTTTGGAGAAGAACCATTATTATAATATAATAAAAATGCATGACAATGGAAAGGAAAGGTGAATTTTTTTGGTAAATGTTATTTACAAAGACAAACATGTCCTCTTACCTGCAGGTAACGACACGTCAGGTCCTGGTGACAGGACTTGGACTTGAGCAGTGATTTATCAATTGTGGCCGACCCCATCTGGCAGACCTGCCTAGCCTGGCTGAGGGTCAGGGTGGACCAGGAGCTGCGTTTCACCACCTTGTTTTCGACAGCTTCTCCACCATTCCCATCCCCGGTTCCATCCACAGGCACAGGAAACGGTGGACACACCTGGACCTTGAGGTCATTGTTGCTCTTAGAGGCTTTCAGTGTGTTTTCACTAATGGTGTTGTAGCCCTGTGGAAAGACCTTTGGCGCCCCCTGGCTTTCAGGTGCGGAACGGCCCAGAGTCATCATGGCCACTGGGGCGTGGCAGCCACCAGCATCATCATCCAGATTGTCCTCGGAGCTCCACAAGCCCAGTATATTAGAGCGGTTCCGCCTCTTGGCGCTTTCGGTCTTTGCCCGGTCTTTGCTCTTGCTGCGCCGGCCACGCTTACCTTCTGCAGCACGTCCATTGAGGTTTCCCTTGATGGAGGCCTCAAGTGACTGCGACTTAGCGAAGAGCTTCTGCACCGAGTGCACCAGATAACGGATGCGGCCCGGGCTCTCGCTGCGCTGCTTCGACGTCCGGTTGCGGTGGAACTGCAGGGTGCTGAATCCGTCCCGCTGCACGGGAAGCTGCTTCTCAAACTGATCCAGCAGGTTGGCAGGGAGCCTGTTGATCTTGCTGGCTGCGGAGATGGTAGCTGAACCGCTGGTGATGAGAGGGGTCCCTCCCACACCCACGCTCATGCCGACACTCATACCAAAGGGCATCGAGGTTCCCAGGTTTGCTGAGGGGATGCCCGGCATGGAGCTGGGCGCAAACTCAGAACTGTAATGGATTCGAGGGAAGGTGCTGCTGTTAGTCATCTGGTTGTGGAGGGGTAGCATGCACTCAGGGGGCAGAGAGGTGGGGCTGGTAGGGGGGAAGTGGTGAGAGTCCATGGTACCATAGTGGTCTATGGTGGGGCTCAGGAGGAAGGGGCTCCGGGGGTCAGGGGCCAGGGGGTACATGACCTCCGGCAAGCCTGACGATGGTTCGCAGGAATCAGACAGGTGACGGTTACGGTTGATTCCCAACCCTTTCATGGTAGCCAAGGATTCCCCTTCAGAGCATTGCCCCTGTTGGAGTAAGACTACAGTCCAGGCAGGGTACCCCTGTAATAATTGAGGAGAACAGAAGGAGTTTACTGTAGCATTTTGGAAACATGCACTCAAAGAGTTCATAGGTATTCCCTTTGACTCATTTCAATAAATCGAATCATTCTGAAACTCTCAGTGCAACAAAATACAAAACCAGAAGGCCCACATCAAGCAAAAATGCTGGTATTTTTATATTTTGTTTAAACAGCAAATGGAGTTGCAGGGGAAAAAATTGTGAGTTTGCCTGACAGTGTTTAGTTTTCATGAGTTACTGTCTTTGCAGGGATATTTCAAAACCTGCATCTACACACAACCACATATGAAATGAAGCGGAGGTGCACAGTCATCCACAAATATCACCCATGGACAGCAGTAGGCCTATGTAATGCAAAAGGGAACAATTTCATGATTGGGTTAGGCACTACTGTATCCCTCACTATAGTTATTCCACTTGAATGTCACCATATTTGGATCAAGATAACGTAACAACAACTGCTAATTATCTTTGATAGATAAGGTGACTGTCAACCATCCACAACATCATTTCAATCCACATTGATTGAAATCAAGGTGTCACATAGAAGGTTAATTGAATCTGCCTTTATCAGCCTAGTTTAAGTCTCTTGCAAATGGTCAATTATATCCTTCCTTTGAGAATTCGGTCAACATGCTGGATAAGAAATAGAACCATCAGAAAAGTAAAGTAACTCCTATTGATGTCGTTACCGTTCTCTAAGTTCTAAAGCAAAGTGTTTAGCATGGATTGATATCGTGTGCAAAGGGAAACAGGAAAGGTTGACTTTTTCTTTTCAGGATAACACTTGTGGTCAAATGACATACATGTAGGTAAGAGTGAAAAAGATTGGCAGTGAAGGGCAGCCACCATGGAGCTGAGGGTTAAGGGCCTTTGCTCAAGGGCCCATGAACTTAACAATTCTGTCAAAGTTGGGCTCAAACCAGCAACCTTCCAATCACAAGCACAGATGCTTAGCTCACTGAGCCACATGCCACCACACAGTGGTACCACTTCTGCCTCTCTACCCTTAAGTCTCAAACCATGGGCCCAGTGAGTCCGAAATCCGCCAGGCCTCCATTACAGGTTATGTATAAGTACATGATACTATATTTTTATTTGTAAAACTTGTAACAGTAGCCTGTGTTTTTTCCATTGTCCCTCTGTGCTTTGAGGGGTGTATAAGCATGATTTTCATTGCTCTGTCATCCCTTGATACATGACATTTTATTTTCATTGCCATACCGTATCTGGAGAATTAGGCTGAAACGGAAGAATCCCTTCCATCTGAGAGATAGCGAGAGTACAGAACTGTATGATAATGAACAATGTACTTTGTTATTACTCTGTTTAATGTTGGTATTGTCTTACTGTGCATAATTGATCAGTTAACCTTTATGATATGTATGTACATGAAAATCACGTGATGTATGGAGTCCACAGATGGTTTGCCATTATCTGCAGCTTTGGCCATCCACAATAGGTCTTGGAATGTATCACCCATGGATACGGGGGGGGGGGGTCTACTGTAATTATAAGTGATTATTATAAGGAATGCTAAAGAGGGTCCAGAAAACAGAACCCTAAATGTGTTTTTGATATGATCTGCCATTCTGGCAAGTGCAAAGGGATAATTACTTTTGCTTCCAACCCAGTGGCCAGCAGCACTACCAGTCCTAACTGTCAGCAGGTATCCTCACAGATGGCTCTACTGTTCTGGCCAATTGGCTTTAGGGATTCGAGCAGTTTTGATGTGAGCTTGAAAGCCCTCTGCTCACTGGAGGAAAGCAGCACTAACCAGTGGAGTCCCTATGTGGAACTATGAGCAGACTGCTGTGTTAGACATCTAGCCCCACACGATTTTCCCAAGCTGCCTGCCTACTGGCAGGACAGCTGCCAGTCCCAGCATGCCTCTGTGTATCGCGCTACTTTATAATAACTAATTCTCAGCTGGTTGTACGTATAACATCAAGGCAAATCTGCAGGTAAAAAGAAGCGAAGTGCTTCGAAACATCACGTGAACAAAGCAATTTATCATTATAGGAACATTTAATAAACGTTACAAATTAAGATATGGAAACGTTCAAAGTGTCCAGTTTTCCTGATGTTCTCAGAACATTATTCCTCTACCACAACTATTATTACAACTAAGAATAATAACATAGAACCAAACAGGGCATGGTAGGGCAGCGGGGGACACTGTTGCTTTGCATCTTAAAGGTAATGGATTAAAGACCAGGTGGTGTGTTCACAGTATGCACATATAGCACTTATATAACATATAAAATAACATTTATTATAAAAATATTTTTCAACATGAATTGTATTAAAAGGATGTTCAGGTAATCTTATTGTGCTGACATTGACAGAACCTTTGATAAAATTGAAAATGTGGAAATAACGTTCTGTCTATGTTACAGTAGGAACATTCTCTGCCAACTTTGAGAAGACCTACAGGTAACTCTGGCTAAAGTTATGGGAATGTTCACTGTTAGCTGGGCAGACCTAGAGACTTTCAGCTTTCAACAAATGTATATCCTTACATCCAGAAAGTTTTTCAGAGAGAGCTGAACTCATTTGGTTAGTAATTATTATTGATGGCCGTGTTCAACCTTTAGCTCGATCCATTCAGTTCTAGGGTGGTTCTCTGTGTGCCTCAGTGATGTCTGCGGGTCCCCGAGGACCGGATTGGAGCAGATTGGGAAACACTGCGCTGGAGCAATTGGGCCGCTACTGCTTTGGAAAAAGTCATTAAATGTATTATAGCTGCTTGCATCAGTCTAATGCAGCTGTGTGGACGATTCCAAAAGCTAAAAAATTGGGTGAATCTGTGGAGCTTGGAAACAGAATGAATTATCCATCAAGGGAGATGTGCTGGAGGACATATTCACATTAGAGAAAAATATCTGAGCACTGTCAAGTCTTTCTTTCATTCTTATAGTTTCGATTTTCCATTAAGATTCACGATGTTTCAAGTCCAGATGGAATTAAAACTTCATTCTTTAAAGAACCTGTCAGCAGTGCAGAAGAGAGAATCATTTGTCAGTACATCAATCTAAGCTCATCAAGATGCAGCTGGCCGACGTTACTCCATTATTATTAATCTGCAAACATATGTTCATCTACTATCATTACTAAATCAATGGTGGAGCTTTACATGTGATCTACAGTATATAAACAGCTCAAGGGTCAGATTCAGACCACGGTATAATCTGTCTAGCATTAAATTCTCTCTGCCAGTTCAGGTCCTTGGTTCCACAGTGATGAGGAGCTTTAGTGAGCATCTGATGTCAAGCTCAACCTTACGATTGTGACTAGTGATTTTGAACACAGCCTTGATGCTCTGTGTCAAAAAGTCAGGCATACTGAGCACCAAGACTCATTTTGATTTCTAAACTGACTGAGTTCATTACTGCATATCTGAGTTCAACTTCGAGTCCGGGAAACACAAGTTCAATTCTAGGCTATGAATTCAAAAACCGCGTATTGTAGACTAAACAGATAACTATTTCCAAATAGGGAATAAATGATTTGTCAAACACAAATGTAACACACATCCACTCCATCCCATCTTTTTTAACAAACTGTTTATTAAACATTCACATAATATAGCTAAAGTGCACAGAAAACTATGCAATAAGACTGTTATGGTGCACATACTCATCATGTATGATTCGGTTCATCATTTTCAGTTCGGTACCCTCAATGAAACTAATGAATACAGTTATTGGCAGGGGGTAGATGTTCAGCATGGAAAACATTATGCTAATTGTGGCTGTGAGTTGGTTACAGCTAATGCTGGTTACAGTCAGTCAAAATCGGTGGTTTGGGTACATTTTCCATTCCCTATAAATTACACCAGCAGAGAGAGAGATTCCATGATAAGACCAAGACTGTATGTCAGCTCTGTTAATCAGAACTCTGATATGTTGCTGGAAACATATCCAACGTGCTAACTTAGGCCTCGTTCACACGGACGTCTGTACCAGGCGTTTTTCTGGCGTTTGTGGCGCCAGGTGAGTGCAGAATGAACGCCGACCGTTTTTCTGCTCATTGGAGCAAATCAAAGCGACCACACGGGCGTTCAGCACCGGCGTTCGGCCGGCTACGCTTTCAAATAAACGCTCCATGCAACGTTTTCTTGGCGTCAAAATCCCGACGAACGCGAGGAAAATTACGCTATTGCATTTACATGGCGTTCGGTTGGCGTTCTGGAGGACCGAATATGTCCCACGATTCTGTACGGCAACTGCGAGAAACCACATTTTACGGAAAATGTGATACTCGTAATATCGGTATTGTACCAGCAGTGAGTTAATCAGCTGCTGGTACAATACCGATATCATGAGTAACTGATATTTAAATTGGTATTTTCGCTTAAAATACCAATTTAAAAAGCTCAGTAGGCAACTGGAAATTTGGACATCTATAAGGAAAAACTCATTTAACTGATGTGCCGTATCTGCTTTCTCTTTTCAACTGTCTTTACTCATAGGGTTCAACTGCAGTTAATACGAAATTACAAAAGCTGTAGAAATATTTCAGCATAAAATCATGCGTTATAAATAATTATAGTGTTACAGCAATTACGGCCGTAATTATCATAAAGCCTTGCAACCCCGATCAGGATAAGCAGTGGGGATCGAGATTGATGGATGTGTGGATGTAAATTAAATTTACATAAATGCATCTTGGACCTCTAGCTTAAAAATTAGTTTACACACTGCAGCTGATCCCCCCAAATTTAAGCAATTAATATATAAACCCCGCTTCTCTCCAATACCTCAACAATTACGGATGGATTCGAGAGTACAGTATAACTTTGGCTACTTATTACCCGTGCGACATACTCAGAAAACGGCGGCTGAAACACCGAACCCGAAAAAAATCACAAAAAAACTGAAAATGAAAGACGTAAATTATGCATGTTTGAAAGTAATTTTTAAATGTAAAACTAAAACTTTAATATGTGATTTCGTCATCTTGTTTAAATCTCGAAATA